CAAAAATTGCTGTATAATGTATCTTGCATATAGAGTTCTATTAATGGTACAGACAAACGGACAAAATTCGAACTGGTTAATGTATCAAAGAGTCACTGCTCTAAATAAGTGTATGTTTTATTATCATAAGAGGAAATTTTGCAAAAAATTTAAAAAAAAAAACTGTGAATTATTATAGAGTTGAAAGATAGTGTAATTAGATTAATTCATTTATGACCTATAATAATCTTAGCAGAAGATAAAATTTCCACTTTCTTTTTATTGGTAAGGATTAGCGCAGTCGGAAGCCAGTTGAATTGGTGCCTGCTAGGCGATTAAGTGCTGTGGGTTAGAATCCCGCTCTGTATTCTGATTCCATGGTCAGTGTTTGCTAGAGACAGCCCGCTGTTTGCTTTTATTCCCTCGGCATAACTAACATAATCAGATTAATCTGTTTATGACCCAAACTACTTCACACCTGCATGTCAAAAGTTCATATGGATAGCTTTCCTATCATATTATATAACCTGTTATAACACCTGTCAATCATTTTAATCCCCACAATCTACAGATTTTTATCACATTTTTTATAAACATTTAACACTTTTATGCCTATTTTCACCAATTCAATTTTGTATCAAACCACCCATGTCACATATCGTTGAAAAGAGAAAATTGAGTAGATCCTGAATATACAAACCATATTGCTAGGAGTTAATTACATTGTAAGTTAGAACCCTCAGTCGAAAAAAAACCCCAATATTTTTAAAACATATTTTAATGGATTATTGTCATATATCATTGAAAAGAAAATCAAAAGGGAATTACAAAATTGAAAAAAATAATTTTCTGTGTTTATTACAAAAGGTCATACAGCCGTTCAAAGTTGTCAAAAATGTTAATTTTTGAATGGCTATTAAACCGGAATTTAATATTTTTCAACCAATATGAGTGCACCTGTGGATACCTGAGGTCAAGAACATCCTACAGTGAAATTTTCAAGGTCATCGAAGGTCAAGGTCACATGGTGTGGCCTTTTGAATTTTCAAAAAATTCAAACGAATATAAAAAAAAATTCAAATTCGAAATTCAAAATTCTGTTCCAAAAAAACTGTAGACAAGGTTACAAGGTTTTAATTGACACCAAAATCATAAAAATCGGATAAAAAATGGAGGACTAATTGATTTTTTGCTAAAATGGGTCAGTCCGAGGCGACGGCTTATGCATCACTTCCGGTTTGGAAGTGCATTCTAATTATGACGGACAGACAATATAATTATATGGTTTTTGCCAACATCTGAAATTTACACCGGGGATGCCAGGCGTGATTTAAAAAACCGGAATCCTTTAAGCAAAAACCGGAAGTGATAGAAAAATTTTGATTGTGTTAATTTATTTGTATGAACATTCTGTATATGTCCTGTGAATTTCAGATCAATCGGATAATTAGCGGCTGAGTTAGAAATTTGGAGCTTTTTTGAAAATTTTGGATTCAAATTTTTTTGACAAAATTATTTAAAAATTGAATTTTTTTAGCCTCACCAGATACGTCTTATAACAATGAACATATTAAAGAAAATTTAAGGTAAAGGTTCATAAATAAGCCCTACAGACTTGATGCAAAATATTTGCACATTATGCAATGGTACACTTCCGGTTTAGCAAAAACTGAATTTTAGACATTCATTTTTGATTCCAAGTCATTTAAAAATGTTTGGTGAAGACAATTTTCGATTTTGTCTAGGGACGTTCCCAAAAAAAAAAACATAACGAAAACAAAGCGTGACAAATTAATATATTTGCCACGCAAAAAAAAAATAATAAACATAACGAAAACAAAGCGTGACAAATCGATAGATTTGCCACGCAAAAATTGGTCTAACGATGGTTTCACGCGAACATATGGACACCAAAACTGAAACATCCACTTCTTTCGGCGACTTCGATGTGCATTTTAATACGCCAGACAATTCACCAACAAAAAGAAATATACGTTGGACTGTCACAGAATGTATTGGATAAATCTGGTCGTGTAATCGATTGGTTCATCACACGAAATAATTTCATCATTCAATATGTCAAAGTTGAGAACAAACAAATATAAGACTATTGCGTTTTGACTTTTAAACTTTCACTCCAAAAGATACTTCACTCCTGATGCCGTCTTATTCTCAACAAAAAAGCCAGTGTAAAGCAACAACAATTAGGTAAAAAATGTATCAAAAAAATTGGAGTGGAGGTTTAATTGACTTGCATATTATTGAAATGTTGGAATATTTACTTGAGTTGACTTCTGATTGTAGCATGTAGACAAAGGGAGATAATTAGCTAAGTTAGGAATTTTAGGTTGTAACGTTGCGGTTAAGTAATGTTACGAAAGCACAGGCATACAGGCTTAACCTCTGAGAGAGTTTTGTTTGTGCAGTTTGTTTGAATAATAATATAATTTCAATATATGAAATGAAAATCCATTTTCTCCAGAATCTGAAAATATAAGAAGAATAATGGTTCCAACAGGAATATTAATTTTTATGGAAATTGTAATAAATATTTTTTTCTGTGAAAAAGGCTACTATTCTGAGAAGAAAAGTGTAGGGTTAGCACACAAAATTTTAAAACATTTTAATATAAAAAAAAGAAATTTCAGGAGTGCTATGTTTTGGACTGCTCAGTGATATGTGAATACAATTCAACTTGTCATAGGGTCCAATTTGTAGCTTGGTCTGTGACCAAGGCAGAGTTTAGGACCTAAAAATGTTTTTTTAATTTCTTGTAATTTTGTTTAGTAATTTTAATTTAATTTTTTTTATCAGAATTCTTGAGAGGTTCAGAAGTTTTGATTATTCAGTGATGTATAATTATTCTTGGAATTCTTTCAGGGGAACTAATATTGGACTGCTAAGTTGTATGTGATTAATTCTGATACCATTAGAATCCTGTAAAAAAAAAAGCTTTAAAATGATATATCAAGTGAATGAAAAAATATTTGTTCATTTTTCGGGACTATTTGCATCGCGTACGAAGTGGCGGACATTTTGAATATAATAGTTGCTATGGAAACGAAGCATGAAAATTTTAATCTTAATATGATAATTTCTCTAAATTTTCCCTTTTTCACATTTAATGTGAAATACAATATCAATATATGAATTACAGTGGTAATAATTATGAACACTGGTAAATTTTTACGTCTTTTGGAAACAAAATGGCCGATAAACTTTCCGCGGAAATATTTTTAAAGCAGATTTCGTTGCAAATAGCCTCAAATTTTACGAAACTGAAAAAAATTTTTTTAAATGTGTTTTATTTCAGCAAAAGTCTTACTTTTTGTGCCGTTAACCTTTTTGTTAAGCCAAAAAATTGCACATTAGACAAAAACTGCCATAACGTTTGATCTAGTTGAGAAAATATCGATCTGTAAACTTCATTTTCGGCTTTGAAAAGAGCTGGTTCTTTTGAGCCTATTTTCATTGATGCAGCATTGTAAACAAAAATAACAAGAATATCGTACTCAGTACCAAATAACTAACAGTTGTCATATGTTTATTTTATTTATGAATTTTGATACACCCACATCAAATGTGGGGCGTATATGGGTCATTCTATGAATTCGTTCTCTTTTAATAATGCACAATAACTAAAATAAATATAGAAATTTGTCGTGTATTTCTGAATTCTGCACAATCTATACTTCTTTGTCATTTTTTAACTTCTGACTTCAAAGAAATCCAATAATTACTTCAGTAATTCGGAATATTTGTCATAAATAAGTGCAATTTTATCAGAATTTTTATACAATTTCCACAAAAAATAATTTTAAGTGATTTCCAGAAGCACATATGATAAGAATTATTGAAAACTGAAAGAAATATTTTTCCGCTCTAATAGTAATACACTCGACGGGATTTGAAATTTTTACACCTAAAAATAAAGTTGATAGAAATAACTGGTATATGATTACAATACTGAAAACAATATTCGATTTTTCATTTTTGGTTAACGGCCTAAGAATATCAGGTTAGTAACACTAAAAACGTTCTAGATTCCACTTGATTTGAACTTGATTTTAGGATCTCGGTTTTCATGGATTCGGTCCGATAAAAACAATTCTATATTTGTAGGATGGGTTGTGGTTAGTCTTGTCACATGATAAACCAGCGTTTATTTCCCCATAACGATAACAAGATCCACATTCATTCCTTATATTTACATTGGTTTATCTGTTCTGTTCTAATTGTTCTATTTTTTAATTGTAAAAATACCCGAAACCGTTGTTGCTTAATTCACCGTTATCTGTCAATCAAGCTCACCGCCCCTAACAATATAGTTCTATAAATCAAGTCTTATTTGGATGATAGAATTATCAAATATTTATTATTCCATTGAAATATTAACAACAATTGTAAATTTAAATAAACTGTAAAATTAGATATGAACAAAAACAAAACTATAATGAATCATTGACCACCGAACTAGTGCGCAATTGTAACAATAACAAGGTAGTGAGAGGGCTAAGCGGAAACATGATGGTGTACAAACTTTGTCAATGCTAGCGCTTCAATTGTTTATTAACGTTAATTGTGCAATTGCTAAATGATGAATGACTAAGGATACCGGCAACAGAATTGTAATTACCGGTAAATGTGATATCATTTGTGGATGACGTTATGTGTGTATGCGTGGACGGTACGAGTCGGGATTGTTGTTGTTCATGGACAACAGAGCAGAAAGAGTGCACGGTGCTTGCTGTTGGACCACAGACGTTTGATTTAGATTGCCTGATACAATGGAACTAAGTGAATCACTGATTGCCCTTTTATGATCAGATGAACAGAAACGATTGTAACTTCTTATAGATGCCTCGGATTTATGACCAGACATGAACATAATTTGCCTTCTTTCAAAACCAGTATCATTCATGTATTGAATGGCTGTAGCTTTTAAGCAATGTGCTGTGTATTTTTTGATACTTTGGAAGAATTGCAAATGTCTGACATAAATGACCTAAAACTATTTTTGCCTAATGGTTTGTTGTTATACCATGTTTCGTTTCATGTTTTAAGTAAGCATACTCGTGTCCTTTTGCATCAAGTGCAAAGCCAAAGGAATTTAAATTGAGCTGATAATGAAATTCAAGCCCCCTGGTTACAAAATGTAAGGCAATCATATACCAAACATATAGGCGTAAATCAATTGGGTTGACGTGTGCAGTATTGTCGAAATATTTATGAATCTTTGGTAAATCAACAACTTCAATAATATCTTTGTGTTTGGTAGCTCTTGAAGTTCCATCTCTCATTTGAGATTTTAAGAGACCATCTAAAACTCGATTTGGTATCTTGAAGCGTCTGTCATTAACAATGTTAATTTCTGAGTTTATATCTGATAAATGTCTATTTAATGCTGCTCTAATATTTTTCATTGTATTTTTATGGTAATTATGAGCTAAAGATGCATCCAATACTTCAAATCTCTTTTCAATTTCCTTTGGCTTTGTACTGAAATAGAATTTTGACAGCTTTTGTGCTAAAATCTGTGGATCTAATGAATTCTGGTCCCAAGCAGCCTTTGTTCCATAAGTTTCAACATGCCATTCTGGAAAAGAAACCATTAAAATGTGCCAACAGATGACAGAAGTGTTGAGATCGTAATTATATTGTCATAAGGGTTGGGTATTATTACTAATTTGATCTTGATTATCGGCGACGGTGTCTTCCCACGAAGTCACTGCTAGAAAATTACAAATTCCCACGAAGTCACCGTTTTATTTTCTTTGATGATTTACAGTTATGCCTCTACGGGATTAAAGGTGTTAAGAGCTCATTAACGGTGACATAAATTCATGACAATCGTTCACATATTAACATGACTAATTATCAGTGTCACTCATTGTTTGGTATCTTTGGTATAACCAATGATTCCATACGATATGGTGGGGGATGTTTTTATCAATGCCATGGGTGATATGCCAGACGACCCCAGATTAGTAGAACTTACAGACTACGTTACAAGTCAATGGTTGGAGGCTGTTTATGGATTACATGAATGGAACTATTATGGTTCGGACACCCCAAGAAGTAACAACAGCTTAGAAGCCATGAGACTGTATCTGTAGAGGGAAGACGTGTTTGCTTGAGCTCCAGAATTTACTCAACCGTAACGTATTTTCTTCCTTTTGAATTTTTAAATGGTATCTCTAAAATTGATTACTCTAGGATGGGTACAACTAGCAAGTTAAGTATGATATAATATATCTACAACTTATTCCATCAGAATACTTGGTATTTATATTTTGTTTATTACTTTGTTTATATTGACAACGTAATCATCCGGTAAGATGTAATCCGGAGTTTCGATTCTATGATCGGGATATTGAGCTGTGCAGGCGTGTATTAGAAATCAGACTTAGTAGAGAGTGTAATAGAATAGGCAAAACATCGTATATAATTATTTTATGTGATTTACTATGTAAATATCAAGGAATAACAGAAGGAAAAGGATGTAAACAAAGCAACTTCCGGTATAAAGTATAGTCCGGGAAGTAGTTTTTCTGCTGTCCCTGAGGTGAGACTTTTTTTTTTTTTATATCCTAAGACAACTTAAAAGTCACAATGGAAAAACTTAATAGAGAAAACACCCTAATCCTCATGTCAGAGGGAGATGTTAAGCCAAATACGACAGAATTCCTTTGAACTATATCTGAACGTGGAGTGGATATTTGGCAGATGCTCTGCTTCCAAAATATAGGTCAAAGCCGACTCCTAGTTACATTAGGGAGCAAAGAGGATGCAGAAAAATCCATGTTAGAATTCCAAGTTCTAGACACTGTCTATTTTGAGGTAAACTATAAAATCGACTATGTTGAGAATGTGTTCCCTGACCCACATATCCCCCAGTTCATTACCATCACGGTTTTTGGTGCGCCCTACGAACTAGAGGATAAGTATATATTACCAAAGCTGTAAATCTATTGTGATAGCCCGAATATTAATAAGGGTTATATTAAAGATATAGGGAGTCACATATCAAATGGAGTCAGATATGTGAAGACGGGCAAAATTAAAAAGCCTATACCCTCCACCATTTACGTACATGGAGACTCAACGTGAAATATGAAGGTCAGGAAACCCCAAACCAACGCTGCTATAATTGTCAACAGTATGGCCACCATGCAAATAACTGTCCTAATGACAGAGTGGAAAGACTCCCCCGTCCGTCATCACAAATAAACCTTGTAAATAAGCAACAAAATGATGATGAAATTGAACAAAAAAATGATAAAACTGAAAACATTGTAAATACAGAAAAAAATGTAAATAATCAAGAAAAAAATATTGCACAAGAAAATAAAAAATCCAAAAAGGTTACAAAACAATCTAAAAAATCTAAAAATGTAAATACTTCTAAAAATGAAATAAGTGAAAATGGTAAAAAAAATGAAAATAAAATAGAAATTGAAAATATAGAAAAAAATCCAAACCCAGGCATGGACCTTGCAAGCAGTAGGCTGAACTCTCAGGACTTGTCAGATCTATCTTTAATGTCAGATCAAGACCCAACTGATGATAGTGATTCATCGAGCTATACATCGGAAGCAATATCTGAATCAGAGCAAAACTCCAGTCTATATCTTGAACTCAACCATCGAATGCTAGAAAGGAGGCGGAATGCCTCAACGCCTCACGATGACATCGCAAATGAAAGACCGCCATCAGGTCTTGAAAAGATTCAAGATATCTCCAGCATAAGTCCTACCCTATCAGCTAAGGCTCAACCCCAGCATGCTATGTGCGGCCAGGGAGTTGAGGCCTCCCCTTATAGGCAAACCACCGAGCCCATAGAAAACCCCCAAAAAAGAAAGGATAAAAGTTTTATCGCAAGCCTACTTACAAAAGCACGTAAGGGAGTTTATGGGGATAATAACTAAGTGCAATATTTAAAGTCTCTGTGATACATAAACTGTGATATATTTTTAAATCTGGAAAATATTTAATGTTAAATTTTAACTGTACATATCTCCTTAAATATACTAATATATTAATATAATGCACATCTGCACCCTTAATGTAAATAGAAGTTTTAAAACCAAAATCGATCAAATTCTTTTAAAATTTAAATATTGTAGTACAATTTGCCTCCAAGAGACCAATTTCATTAAAAATGCAAAAATAACGCAATTAGAAAAAGATACCAACTTTAAATTCACTGTAAATAATGGCAATAACAATAATAATGGCGTATGCACAATCTTTAACAACTCTCTCTCTTTTACCAATATCCCCACCCCACCCTTTTTCTCTGGCCGTCTGTTGCATACCTCTACTCTTATCAATAATTCTCTGACACACATCTTTAACATCTATGCACCAGTCTATCTTCACCAAAAAACTCTCTTCTATACAGAACTCTTTTCCTATATTTCTTTTACAGTAAAACCTGATCAACTTTTAATTTTAACTGGGGATTTTAACTGTATATATAATATTTTAGATTCAAAAAATAAAAACGTTTATGACACACCAGCAGCCACAAGAAGTCTTTTTCACTCTTTTAAAGTTAAATTGGCACTTGTAGATATTTTTAGAGAAAAACACCCCACAAAATGTATATACACTTATATTTACTCACAGGGTGATGGAAGTCGACTTGATCGCTTCTACACCAACAAATCACTAGCACAACACTGTATAAATATCTCACACATTCCTGTTAATAGCTCAGATCACAAAGCAGTTGTTCTGGAGATGGACATTAAGAAATTTAGATGGGGGAGGGGCTATTTCAAATTAAATGAATCTATTCTATACAATACCAACTTAAAAAATACTATTTCATTCTTTTGGCGGGGATGGCAAGATCAAAAGTTACAGTTTCAAAATTATCTTAATTGGTGGGAGGAGGGAAAAAAGCGTTTAAGCAAAATTTGTAAAGATTATTCGTCTATATTAAGTAAAGAGAGAAAAAAGGATTTAATTCATAAATATAACACTCTAGAACAACTGGAAAATGACACCAACTATAATTTATCACTTACAAATATAGTTAAGCACAATATAACTACACTTGAGCACCAAAGGGTTAAGGGGGTGTATATAAGGGCTAAAGCGGATCATGTAAATAATAATGTTGAAAATGTACATATGTATAAAGATATAGAAATAAAAAATGGTAAAAAAAGTGTATAGATAAACTGGAAAATTTAAGGGGGGATATTTGTACAAACCGAGAAGATATTCTCAACATAATTCATGACTTTTACAGAACACTCTACACTTCACAGCATGTAAAAGAACAAGACATTCACAATTATCTTTCAAACTGTCCACTTACACCCCTCACTGACACTGATCTATCCCTCATCAGCGACACTTTTTTCTGGAAAGATGAAATTTTGGCGGCAATAAAGGACTTCAAGAATGGTAAAACTCCGGGGGTTGACGGTTTAAGTAAGGCTTTTTATGAAGAAAATTGGGACATTTTAGGGGATGATATGTGTGTACTTTACAATAATATTTATTTTCAAGGGGAATTATCTAAAACTATGAGGGAGGGGGTTATTACTTTGGCGTATAAGGGGAAAGGACAGACAAGACTACTCAAAAACTATCGCCCTATTTCTCTTCTCTGCTCTGACTATAAGATTATTACTAAGATACTGGCTAAGCGACTTAAGAGGGTGATTAATTCTATTGTGTATGACATTCAGACTGGGGCGGGGGAGGACAAGACTATTATCAACAATCTACTATCCATTGACTATCTTCTTCTTTATATCAATCAGAAAAACATTCCTTCTAATCTTTCTACTTTTGACCAAGAAAAAGCATTTGACAGAATCGAGATTAACTACATTATCATTTTATTAGAATATCTAAATTTTCCACAATATTTCATCAGATGGGTAAGCATACTCTACAAAGATATCACTAGTAAGGTTGAGGTTTCAGGTGCCTTCACTGGTGATATCGTCATAGCCAGAGGTGTCCGACAGGGTTGCCCACTCAGCATGGCACTATTCTCCATTGCAATTCATCCGTTCGCAGTTTATATTCAGAACAATGATGGAATTAAAGGTATTAAGGTCCCTAATTTCAGTCGAAAATTAAAATATTTCAACACGCGGATGATTTATCTTCTATTACCACTTCGAAACAATCATTTGGCTTGATATTACAGGAATTTGATAGATTTAGTAAGGTATCAGGGTCCAAATTAAATGTAGAGAAAACCAAAATATTGTGTATGAACAATTCCAGGAACTTTATACCCGTTCAAAATCAACATTCAATCCGCGACGTCATAAAATTGTTAGGTATTTGGTTTGGTAAGGGTCAGACTGGGAAAAACTGGGATATAATAGCGGCTAAGACTTTAAGTATGGCTTTAAGGTGGACAGACAGACAACTCAGTTTCAGGGAAAAACTAATTGTCATTAATACTTATATCATTAGTCTGTTCGTGTACGTTTCAAGAATTGTCCCACCATCCAAGTCCGCACTGAAACAAAAAAACTCTGCGATTTTCAAATTTCTATGGAATAACAACTTTGAACTCATCAAACGTGACACCCTTCATTTAAATCCTGAACAAGGTGGACTTGGGATCCCTAATTTAGACTTAAAAGTTTTGGCAATGCAATTTCAACAAATATCCCAAGTCATAATTGACAATCAAAATCCGTGGGTGTCACTCTTTAATTATTGGCTCGGAAATCCTCTTAAAAATACTATTGATTTCAATTTGGCACATTCACATACTTTATACTACCCTTCAAAATTCAAAATACTACTCAAAATTCAAAAAGATCACAACTTTAACCTTAGAAATTTGAAAAAATGCAAACAAATATATCAAGCACTTCTTGCCACACTCACTGTTAATTTAAAAACTGTTACTATGCACCCCTTCATAGATTTCAAACAAACTTGGAAAAATTTATCAACAATACACTCTAGTAAAGAAAAAGATTTCCTATTTCTCTCTCTGCATGATGCGCACCCCACAAAGAAAGTCTTATCAGCACGTTTAAGGCACCTTATTACAACTTGTAATTACTGTAAATATGGGGTAGAAAAAAAAAAGGCTGGCATAGCCGTGTAAAGAAACCTGTAGGAAAAGCCCACCCCAAAATATTTAAAATCATTAATTTCTTGAAAGAAGAGCAAGATGCCATGGAAATCAGGATGGTGCAGTATGCGGCGGGTCAGCAGCAACCTCCACAAAAAACGAAAATACAAGACACTTGAATCAAAACTTAGCAATAATATAGAACAGTGTAGAGGTAACGTATGTATACGAGTTTGCAGATTCTGTATCATATTTGTTAAAACTGAAATAGTAAATGTTGTAAATAAATGAATTACTTGAAAAATATTGTTTATTGGCTATAACCCCATTACATCGGCTTAAGTGTACTATGATAACACCCTGTAATCCTATTGTTCTCAAAATCCATTTTTTTGACAACATTCCCACGAAGTCACCGTTTTTGGTTTCTACATGGTTAATTAAGACCCAAGCGGTGACTTCGTGGGCATGAACCTCGGCGACAGGCTACCGGTCAATAATTGATTACAACCTGGTTGTGTCTTTTTTGTAATATAAATTTAAAGTGAAGAGTAATCTGCTTGTTATCAAAGCCTGTTTATTATTTAATTTATTTAATATGTTCAATACCTTCAAAAATTCCTAAAGCCCACCGTGTATTTTTTGTTGTTGCTTCAGATTGGTTCAAAGCTTCAAATATTTTTACATCAGCATCGTCAATACTTTTGAATCGTTTATGTATAGAATTATCAGTAGAAAATGTTTTTTCATTACCTTTGGCATCTTCAGTGTATATAACAGCTGAGATCTTTTCATCAGATGACCTAGCGCTGTCTGTCTCTGCATCTGCATTATGAACTGCTGGTTGAATTTCCTGGGTCAAACTGGCAGTGACACTAGACTGAGAGGCAGTGACAGTGATTTTGTCTGTTGTCATCTGAATCTATTATATAGTCCAGTTTCAGAGCAGCCAGCAAATCATCTGAATCAATTACTGGTGATAATTCCAGATCAAATGTTCCATAATCAATATTATTATGGTCAATGTTGTAAATATTTGAAAATGGAACCAATCTAATAGTGAGCTAATAGTACTGAGGCATTGGTTTAGCAGACGAAAATTTCCGTTAAGAGAGTTTTTTGAAATAATTATGTTTATGAGTAAGACACGTAGATAGGTCATGTAACATAAATAAAATGATTGACATTTTGAGCTTATTACGGCATTGGACGTTACTGTTTTATCCAAGGAAATTGAAGCTCGTGCATATCATGAGTTTTGTTTTATTAAAAGGGCGATGAAGCCCCACGTACTTTCATTTAATTAAGATCTATTTGGCTTTCATTTAAGTTATCCAAGAATGCTAAAACACCAAATATCTGATTACCATTTTTTTTTCAATTTTGTATACCTTTATATAATATGAAATATTCCATATTAATGTTACGTACAGTTCGATGTAAAAATATACAAAAAATATCCATGCTGAAAGTGATTTTACATCTATGTGATAAAGATAGGTTTCCCATGTGTATAGTCGAAAGTTTTTTTTTACACCACTAGAAACCTTGTATTTTGTATTTTTCGGTATTGTGCATATAATATGTAATATCTCATAAATTGGTATTGATCTCATTAATTGTGTATCAAACNTTGTACTTATAAATATCTGAAGCTTTAAAAGATTATGA